TTTTATGATATCGTCAAACATATATTTTATTCAAAAATAAAAACATCATCGCTTTCTCAAAATCACATAAAGCCATATTATAACATCGACTGAGATAAATAATAAAATGAAATATTAAAAACACGATGTATCTCGCTGCATTGCGCGAGTACGCTTCTAGTATCAAAATATTACGTCATTTTCTTGGACTTTCAACCAACCAATGAAAATCCAGGTTTCTTACTTTCTCAGATAAATTATATCGTTAACTTATATTTATTATACAGATTCAAAATATCTTGTTTGGTGATAAATAATCAACTTTGCAGATGACAAATATTACTTTAACTTAGATTCACCGACATTATTTGAATTAAATCGTTATTTAGTAAATAAATAACATTTAATGATTATGGAATTTATGTTGAGTTTTTTGCACATAGTTGTTATATATGCATAAATGTTTGTTATGAGTAAGCTCCTTGTGACAGTGATTCTTTATTTGAAGCCGAAAAGGGACGGTGATTATTTATTTGAATGCGAAAAGGTTCAAGTTGAGTTGACTTGTCAACATTTTTTAAACATGATAAATAGTCAATGTCATGTGATTGTAAAAACTATGTTATTAAAATAATAATGTATTTTTGATAATAAATCAAATTAAAATGTTGTGAACATTCAGATACCATTTTGGTGACTTTCTACCCATTCAACTTATATGACTCGCATAATTTTAACTGTTTTTTTTAATCGACATGTTAGATATAAATGATACTGCAAGTCGACAATTTTCTAAGTAAACGAATTAAAGTTTCTATATTAACACCACTTCTACGATACTTGGAAAAACTGAAAACATAAAACAATAATTAATGAGAAAAATAACCCTAAAAAGTGTTCCGACAATAAATATTTACAAACCAGTATTATTTCTTCCCTACTATGCACATAAAACTATCAAGATTGCTTGAAATTAATATAAAAAATACCAGTGAAAACAATCCCACATGTCACATTCAATACACGTTTGACTATATTGCAAAAAAAGGTCACAGGTAATATAAATTTCAATATCTTAACTATAAGAAAGGGATGTTGAAGGTTCAACTATGGTTAAAAAAAACTCAAACCAAACCATTTGATTAAGCCCAAATCAAATCAGATCGAATAAATTTATACTGTAATTTTCATATAAGGTTTAAAAAGGTAAGAAACAAGGTTGATGTTGATTCTTTAAACCCAATATAGTTCAAAACAGTCTGACGCGTACCACAATTGAAAAAATGTGAGATGATTTTGCTTAAATATAAGATAGGTCATGGGTTCGATCCCAACCCCTCTTCCCGCTAGCTTCAACCGTTGAGTGAGCCATAGAATGCTCCCTCACATTGCTATCCATGAAGACATTCATATAAGAGCGATTGAAGTTGTCAGCAATCAACTCTGTCCATGTATAAATTTGAAACAAATATAAAGTGTCAAAATGGTGCGAAACAAATATACATACAACCTTTAAATGATTATCTTGAAACCCCTTATGAGTCTTGCACATGTGTACACACACAGCAAATATTTTAGAAGTATTTATAATCTCATAATTGCTTTTAGTTTCAGTACATTTTGAAAATTAACGTATGATAAAAAAACTGTATTTAAATGTAGACCAATTTTATGAAAGTTAAAATCAGTTATAGTCAAAACAAATGTAAAATGAGGTAGTTGGTAACATATGTGATAAAGGGAAATGGGAACATATATAAGAAATGGTTTCTCACTCCAAATCTGTCATGTTATCTTAGAAGGGTGCACTTGGTAGTTTGTACACATGCAAGACTATAACCGGACTCGACGAGACTGGACAAGACTAGACAGAAAAAGTGAGATGGATGGGTGAAAGAACTGTGCAATAATTTACTGTTTTAATTTGACATGAGTGGTTTTAGTAATTTACCAATACTGTGTAATATATCTGAAATAGGTTAAAGAATGTATTTTTATCCAACTCATTTTTATTTTGTCCCAATATAGACTAATAATTGATACATATCGCACCAAACGTAAAATGATAAATTTTTGGTCTGTCATATATCATCTTGTTATTCGTATCAAATGCTCAAAGATTGGGTCGGTTTGAAGGTAAACTTTGCAAGTAGGGGTTTGTAAGACACTGAATGGTCCGAAATCCGAACCCGAACAAGGTGTTTATGTAAATCTTGAATGCCCTGAAATTTGAAAATCCGAAACCCGAGTTTTGGGGGAATAATTGGGTTGGGATATGTATGATTTGTGGCCACCCGACCGGTCCGAATGTATATGTATTTTAAATATGATATAATATATTTATTTATCTAATTATCTTTTTAACATCTTAAATCCTAGTCAGTCGTGCTTTTTTCTATTGTCTAAACCTACTATCGGTTTCAACAATCATCTTAATCGACTGAATGCATCACCAAAATCGATTGAATATATATAAGCTATACCCGAACCCGATCATCTCGAACACGAAGTAATTCAAAATCTAAAACCCAAAATTCGAGGCTTGGTTAATGGTTTCCATGTTTAGATCGGATTTTTGGTTTAGCCATCCGAACCTACCCGACCCGTCTGATGCACACACCTGCAACTGCAAGGGTCGATATTGGAATTGGGCCTAGCCCAGGTTGTGATTTGGGTCCATTTTAATTCGGGTTGAAATATGTCCAAATAGTCAAGAGTCTAATTAGTCAAAATAAGTCAAAGAGATTCGTAAAAACCTAAAGCCGTTAAACCCTAGTAACCCAAAAACCTCCACCGAAACAATCGCACAGAGCACCAGAAGAGGGAACCAGCCAAACGAATCGGAATGGTGAAGTCGTACCTCCGGTATGAGCCGGCGGCGGCGTTCGGAGTGATTGCGTCAGTGGAGTCTAACATCGCATACGACACCTCCGGTAAATATCTACTAGCTCCGGCACTCGAAAAGGTCGGCGTTTGGCATGTCCGTCAAGGCGTCTGCTCCAAAACTCTTACCCCGTCTACGGAATCACGCGGGCCTTCTCTCGCCGTTACCTCAATTGCGGCCGTTCCTTCTTCACCTCTGGTGCTTGCTCTCTCTATATTATTAAAATTTGTACCCGAATGTATAAATTACCATTACGAGAATATGCTGCTTCATCTGTTTGAAAACATAGACTTTGGTAAATTGTTGCTTATGGAGAATAGTTTCATAACTGTATTAAGAATTCTAAATGTTCGGGTTTAAAGGAACCGCCCTTTGACTTACTGTGTGGAATGGACTACCAGTTGATAAAAAAATTGCCAATCAAACTCTCCGAGTATCAGGAAATAAGTTGCATCTCCTGTCTGCAAATGAACTTAATGTGGTGAGGTATAGTTAGCTGATGTGCACCTGTTAAATGGGTATCATAATTCGTAGGATTAGTTGTAATCAAGAGATATTTTGCAAAAAATATGATGTATAGTTTTTTGTGTTGTGAAAGCAAAGTGAATGTAAATTTGATTGGATGGAATATGATTGCAAGAGGTGAGGAGACTTTTGTTTTATCTGGCAATGGAGTCATTCTTTCTATGAAAAACAATCAAGTGAGATTTCTCTTCCTGTCTGTCACAGGTAGCTAGTGGGCATGCCGATGGAAGTATAAGAATTTGGAATTGTGAGAAGGGAAGCTGTGAGACCACGTTGAATGGGCACAAAGGGGCTACGACAGTCCTTAGGTTTAACAAGACAGGATCATTACTTGTATCTGGAAGCAAGGACAATGACATTGTTTTATGGGATGTTATTGGTGAAGTCGGACTTTTCCGTCTCCGTGGTCACCGTGATCAGGTTATTCTTTGTAAATACTGTCAAAGTATTTCCCAACTAATCTTTATGATTCTTTTTCAGTCTGTAATCTAAGTATATGATGTTGCATGGATTTCTTTTCGGGTTGCAGGTTACTGATCTTGCCTTCTTGGATTCTGGTAAAAAACTTGTTAGTGCCTCCAAAGACAAGTTTTTAAGGGTTTGGGATCTTGATACCCAACATTGTACTCAAATAATTGGTGGCCATCACAGTGAAGTTTGGTCCATAGATGTTGATCCTGAGCAGAACTATCTGGTCACTGGATCAGCTGATTCAGAGCTCCGATTTTACACTATTAAGCATGAAATTGTAGATGGTCAATCTGTATCAAAAACTAGTAAAACTAATGCTGAGACTAAAGACTCCAGTGCTGAAAGTAAATGGGAAGTTTTGAAACCTTTTGGTGAAGTTCAACGGCAGAGCAAAGATCGTGTTGCAACAGTCAGATTTAACAAGTCCGGTAACCTTCTTGCCTGTCAAGTTGCAGGGAAGACGGTGGAGATATATCGTGTACTGGATGACGCTGAATCGAAGCGTAAAGCAAAAAGGAGAATTAGTCGTAAGAAGGAGAAGAAATCTTCTAAAATAGTTGATGCCACTGACATTGGAAATGCAGATCATGAAATGAAAGATGAAGGAAACCTACCCATGGTTACAGTCACTGATGTATTTAAGCTTTTGCAGACTGTACGAGCTAACAAGAAGATCTGCTCTATCTCATTCTCCCCCATCACTTCCAAGAATTCACTAGCTACATTAGCATTATCATTGAACAATAATTTGGTGGAGATTTATTCAATAGAGAGCAGTTCAACTACAAAAACCAGTGCTATTGAGCTTCAAGGTCATCGTTCTGATGTAAGAAGTGTTACACTTAGCTCAGACAGCACACTTCTTATGTCAACCAGTCACAATTCTGTGAAGATCTGGAACCCAAGTACTGGTTCTTGTCTTCGCACTATTGATTCAGGATATGGATTGTGTAGTTTGTTTGTTCCCGGTAACAAGTATGCCCTCATTGGTACAAAAGAAGGGAATCTTGAAATTATTGATGTGCGGAGTGGTACTTCTGTTGAAGTAGTGAAAGCTCATACTGGCTCTGTGCAATCAATCGTCCCCACACCAGATGGTGGTGGCTTTGTCACTGGGAGTACGGATCATGATGTTAAGTTTTGGGAGTATGAAACCACTAAAAATCCTGGTCAGGTGTGTATATAATTTCTTTAACGTATTTGTAAATTCTTTTATATTTTTTCAACTTGTCTCTCTTCATGATTATTTTATTTTCAGATGGATTTGTTTTGACTTTCTTAGTGTTTGCTGCTATGCTTTTCTCTTATAAGCCACTCATCCAATATGCATTTATTAAGCTTCTTTCTCCATAGATATTCATACGATTGAGTCGTCGGGTTTCCGAAATAGTTGAGAGAGATCAGGAACTAAGTCCCCTGAATGACTGCTCAATGACAGAGGAATAGATTACTTTTTGCTTTTTGGCTATTTTTAATAAATATAGCAGGTTTTACTTTCATGTGACGTTGTATGGTCAAGTAAGTATTGATTTTGAACATGCAATCTTTTGTGCTTTTCATAACCAACTCACCTGTATAGTGCTTTCATATTAGGGTCCATGTCCATGTTAGTTTGGAAACTTACTCTTTTGTTTTCTCTCTATGATTATAAAACTATGCTGTTAATTGTGGCGCTATAGCGCTGCAATATCGGATATCGGACCTGTGCAAAATATCGGTGGTCAAATAGCGGTGTAAATAGCGCTGCTGCTAATATCGGCTCAATTTACCGCAGTTTGACCGATATTTAGGGTCAAATTGCGGTCCGCAATAGCGCTATGTAGTTTGGTTGTTTTTGGGCTTTATTTTTGAGACTTTGACTTGGGCAGTTGGGTTTTTTTATTTTGATTTGGGCTATGTTTTAATTTTAATTCGTTAACATAACCGTATAACAATTAACAATAACTTTCTTTCTATCATCAACCCAAGTTCCAACTTGGAAGGAAGTCGTAGGTTTTTCGACGTTCGACAGCTTCTTCCGCTCTTGGAAGGAAGTCGCTTATGAACACTTTTCCTACTCCAACTGTATTCTACTACACACACATACATAACAGCTTTGAAGCTGTTTTGTGTGGACTTACATTTGCTGCACAATGGATCCAATCATTTAGTGTCTTGGTTTTTTGGGTTGTCAGGATTCGGTGCAGCTAACAGTGTCTAATATGCGGAACTTATCAATGAACGACGATGTTATAGTGGTTGCTGTAAGCCCTGACGGGAAGCATATTGCAGCCGCTCTATTGGATTGTACTGTCAAGGTCAGGTTTGCTTCTTTGACATTCTTATGTCTGTTTTGAAATATGGTTATTTGCTTATTTATATGTTCACCTTTTTTTTGTTTGTCTTAGTGCAAAGTAGGGTGTTAATTGGATACTCATACTTGGTGTACTCTGATTCATAATTTCTTGTGTTTGAAATCATTTTGATATATTGATGCTTTAATGTACTTTCAAAGTTTTTATTCAAATCCACATGCAAGTTTCAGAGGAACACTTTTTGATAAACTCAACGGTGTACGTACTTGTGGTTAGATCTGCATCATACTTTGTTCTCTGCTTGTAGATCATATTATTTACGTATTAGTTGCTAAATATTACATTAAAAACTTTCAGGTTTTCTACATGGACACTCTTAAATTTTTCCTTACATTGTATGGTCACAAGCTGCCGGTATTGTGTATGGATATGTCATCTGATGGGGATCTTGTTGTGACTGGATCTGCGGATAAAAACTTGAAAATTTGGGGTTTGGACTTCGGTGACTGTCACAAGTCTATATTTGCTCATGCTGATAGGTACGTTTTTGTTATGGAATATTTTCTCATCCCAAAACTCAAAATTTTCAGCAATTTTAGTATGAATTTATTTTTGTTTGCAGTGTTACAGCAGTGAAATTTGTTCGTAACACCCACTACATGTTCAGTGTTGGGAAAGATCGTCTGGTAAAATACTGGGATGCTGATAAATTTGAGTTGCTCCTAACTCTAGAAGGCCATCATGCTGAAGTTTGGTGTGTCTCTATCAGTCATCGTGGTGATTTTCTTGTGACAGGGTCTCATGATAGATCAATTAGACGTTGGGACCGTACGGAGGAACCGTTTTTTCTTGAGGTACATACGTTTTTTTAGCTGGCTTATTCCTTCGTCTACTGTAAGTCAGGTTGGGATTTGCAACTAGATAATGTTACTGTATCTGAATGTATCGCAGGAAGAGAAAGAGAAGAGATTGGAAGAGATGTTTGAGGCTGACCTTGACAACACGTTAGAAAACAGATATCTGCCTCAACAAGAACTTCCAGAGGAGGGTGCTGTAGCTGTAGCAGGAAAGAAGACTCAAGAAACTCTCTCAGCCAGTGACTCAATTATTGAAGCACTAGACATTGCAGGGGAAGAACTGAAACGATTGGCTGAACATGAGGTCTGTATTTTGCTATGTAACACCATTTGTGTTTAGAATATCATTTATATATTTCAGTGCGCATGAAATAAATCAAATGCTGGTCACATACTTATTTCACCAAGCTTTATGTGGCCTCATACTTATTTCACCAAGCTTTATGTGGCCTTAGTGATAACAAATTAGGCCTGCATCAAGTAGGCCTAAAAGACACACAAAGTAACTAAAAGGGAACTGTTTGCCGTTACCTTAGGCGAACCTTTAAATTTTCGGAGAATGCTTTCTAGGAGAACCTCTTGGCGTTGGAATTGCGCCTGCACAACGTATCCAGACTCGAGAACTGATGTCATGACACTAGGCTACCGCTATATGATATTGAGGGAAAACTGAACTCTCGTGCCAAACATTATATGGTTTTTATCTTTCTAAATAGTGTAGCTACTCTCTAAAATGTAGTGCATGCTGTTGCAGGAAGATGGAAAAATAACCATGCTCTTTTTATCATCTGTTTAAGCTGTTCTAAGATGTGCAGTCAAAGCAGATATCTGTTATATATTTGGATAAACATCACTTATCTTCCTTGTGATTGAGCTTATGAAAGTTGAAGGTATTTCATGATGTCTTCATCTGCGTTATGTACATGTAAGGTGGGTGTAATGGGACACTTTACCTTAAGGTCCTTAACAAGGAATAGAGCACATGATTTTTGACTTCCTCTTTCTGCTACACTTACATATTCTGGATGCTTAGCTTGTGCTCTGAGAAATGTTTAGATTTCCCAGTTTGTCACATAGCAAGTATAACTTCTTAATATTTGCTAAGGAGTTTGTGAAAAAAGAATCTTGTATCCAAAATTAGGGGCTAGCCTTTTTAATTGCATCTACATTTGGAATAATTTCACAAGCCTGTCATATACTTTCTAGCGTCAAATTGCCTAGTCATCAGCTGGAGTTTTGAGAAGTTCTTTGGAATATAAAGATTTTAGATCATTCCAGGATAACTCTGTTTACGCTTTCAACTACGTTACAACTTGGCTTATTTCATTGTAATGCATTTAATTACTTGATGTTTTGCAAATCTCAGGAGGAAACGAGAAGGGGAAAGGGTGCAGAGTTTCGGCCCAATATTATTATGCTTGGGCTCTCTCTGTCTGATTATATTCTTCGTGCAGTCTCAAAAGTTCATACCAATGACCTAGAGCAGACATTACTTGTAAGTGAACTATTTAGTGGTATATACAAATCAATATTGCTCTGTGTTCTACATATGGAAGCTTCAGTTTTATGTTGATAAGAAATAAGGGATTCTATGTGTGCATTATATAAATTTGTGAATTATGATGATCTAGAGCATAAATAATAAAGCACATGAAGCTATCATCTAGAACACATTGGGCAGCCAGGCAGGCTAAAACTGAACCCAAAAGAAGTTTTGAACCTGTGGAATGGTGGAACCCGATAACATATGTGAATAGGCGAGTTCCATGGGGATCTGGGATATGTTTGGCATCTTCGTATACTCCAGGACATGACAACTTTTTCCTTGCCTGGGACTACGATATGCAAAAATGCATTATCAATGAAAAGAGAAGAAGCTGTGGTAAGCATAGATAGGAAGAATGTATCAATGAGTTAAAAAGCTATTTTTTGAAAGGCAGCAGTTATAAATGAAGTTGGTTATTTTTGGTCTTCAACATTTGCTCTACAAATCTGGTTTCCTTTGAAGCAAAGTGGCAAAGATGTTAGTTTCTACAGTTTTCATACATCCACATGCAATTATGTTTTTTCATGTATTGTAGGACAATGGTATGATATTTTTTAGACTGTCCATACTTGTATGCTACGACTTTTGCCTGATTTATCCGACATGTCATTAGTAGTTTGTTATACTCTAGTATGGAGCATGTATGTGATCATACTTACAATTTGGCTCATGTTTACATTGTTGGAAGGTCTTAAAAGTTAAACCTCCAATTGAAGTGCAATTATTTTACAAATGATAGTCCTTTTCATTTCGGAGTCCCATGAATGGTTATATCTTATCCTTGCAGGCTCTACCCTTCTCAGACGCATTGAAGCTCTTATCATACTTAAAAGATTGGTCCTTGAATCCAGATAAGGTCAGACTTTGTTCTTTGGAAGGCATCCCAAACTGTTAGAATGTTTATGCGAGTCTCTTGTGTTTGAATTTGTTAAAAGACTTAAATGTAGCATTTATATATGAACCTAAAAGATGACCCACCTTTAACTTATTCTCACACCAGTCGTCAACCTCACTGTGTTTTCTTATTATGTTTAAGACTTAACAGTTTTGTTGGTATTTATCATTGCAAATATAACTCACTTCAGAAGCCACGTTCAAGTTGACACAAAATGTTTCACAGTTGCTTTTCTGAACATCACTTCTGATCAACGTATTTCAAGTTACATGCTAATATGCTATCATCGTCCTTTTTGACTGTTGTTGTTACTTTAAATCAACCTGCAGGTTGAGCTGGTTTGCAGGATAGCCACAGTGTTGTTGCAACTGCATCATAATCAGCTAGTTGCTACCACAAGTACCAGGCCTCTTTTGGCTCTTCTCAGAAACATACTTCATGCTAGAGTTAAGGTACAAGAAACCAAAATTCTGATGAAATGGAACTCTTGTTTTATTGCCCAATTTTAAGCATGATTTTTTGTTTCTTGACCTTTATATGTATTAATCTTGAGTTGGATGTATCTAAGAAGCAGGGGTGTCCACCCCTTGTAAAGATGCTTTGCTAGGGCTTTGGGTCAGGGGAGGGTGTGGTTTAGGCAATGTTTGACAACCACAATCCTTATCTTTTGAGCTTATCGAAAAATCCCCGTTTAATGACGACTTGAAACGCTACTTCAAGTAGCGTTCCTATAAGCTTCAAGTCTTTTTCCACTTTTTCTAATTTTGCCAGCTATAATTATGCAATTAATAGTTCATCATGTCCTTTTAGGTTATTTTACATTGTCATCTTGCATATCAACTATCTAGCTTATCGACTAACTTTTCCAAAAATGATTGGTTTATATCAATTAACTTATTAGCCAACAACTGGTTTTTCAGCTAATTATTTTGATCTTATTTTTGATAAAATTTGAGATGAAAATCAACAATTTGTTCATAAATTAAGGTTAAAATTCCAAAGTGCGATTTATGGTTTTTTGGGATCATTGAACTCTGGTATCCCTAAATTAGGATATGAATGAAATTTGAATCCTTTTCAGGAATGCAAGGATACTCTTGGATTCAATCTGGCAGCCATGGATCATGTCAAGGTCTGTTTCTTTGCCCAAAACAATGTGGGAAATTATGTTTAACTTATCAGTTGATCCAAAATTGTAAACTATTGTAATTCCAGCAATTGATGGCTTCAAAATCTGATGCACCCTTCCGAGATGCAAAGAACAAATTACTAGAAATACGGTCCCAACAGTCAAAACGTGTTGAAGCAAGGGCAGACACAAAGGGCGAAAGGAGGAAGAAGAAAAAGCAAAAGCAAAAGGACGATGGACACGTGTGGTCTTGATTTGCAGCCATGGACTCACGATCAAATGGTCAATCTTCATGATCAATGCCAACATTCGTCTTCATCTTAGTCGTGGCACGTAAGCGTGACACAAATGTGTAAATTTTTATTCAATTATATTCATAATTTTGGTGATATTATTGGATTACAGAATATTATTATGTTGCTCCAAATTTTGTAGTTGGAGATGAGGTCTTGATGGTTATTTCGTGACGTAGTCTGTTAACAGGATGCTTTCTATAACCATGCATAAAAGCTTGGCTATTTGTGCAATACGGATAAAAATGTCCCATTAAGACGTCAGCTTTTTATTTAATTCATGGTCACATTTTTTTGGATTGTGTTAGGGGCCGTTTACCAAATACTTACCCAGTAAGTGTTTACGGGTAAAATTTAACATTATTGTTTACTTACCGGATAAGATTTATAGTCTAACAAAACGACATGTAATAATTTACCCAGTAAGTATTTACCGTGGTAAAAGCCTTCACTTACGAGGTAAGACTTTTGATCCTTGTCTCGCTCTTGGTCGTGATCATTTTCATTTGGTGAGGTAATGCGACTTGGTAAGCGTTTACTAGATAAACGTTTTGTAAATGCCATATGATTATGTGATTGATGAGACGTGAGAATTTAGGTTAAGAGATTTTGATTGGTGCAGTGAACCTTTTTTTTAAGGTTAAAATATACAATATATTTTGTTTTTAAATTAAAATCAAAGGAAGTTGGTGGCCAAATTTGAAGTTATCAGTTTATGTAAAAAATATTGAGTGAGAAAACAAATTGTTTTAATACTACAAATTGTTGTTATTATTAATATTAAATGGGTACTCGTACAATGAAACGAGATACATCTTGATTTTAATGTTTCGTTTTATTTATTTCTTTGTCTCAGCCGATGTTATAATATAGTTTTATGTGGTTTTGAAAAAACGATAATGTTTTTATTTTTGAATAAAATATAAATATGAAGATATCATAAAAAATTGAAAAAAAATATTTGTATTAGTATCAAACTAACTATTTAAAATTTCTCTTTTTTTGTATTTCTTTAATTCATTTTTTTTGTTTAACAATATAATTTTTTATAAAGATAATAATTAAATATTTTGTTAGAAGTCAATCACTTACCTTATTGTATTTTAGATTTTTTATATTTAAAATGAGATATTTATTCTCTATTTAATTATGTTTATCTGCAATTAGTTACATGAATTCAAACATGAAGTTTTAATAAGGTGTACTTACGCACAATTTACTTGGAATCTTGAATTTTACGTAATATGCATCAATAAACAGTACTTCATGCATGAAAAATGATTTTTAAGAGTTTTTGTCAAATGTTTTATAATATAATATAGATTATGAAAATATGTGATATTATGTTAGATTATATTTCAAAAAAAAATCTTTCAAAATAATCGTAGAGTAATAAACATAGACTCTGATATCATGTGAGAATATGTGGAATCTATTTTGATTGCTTTTTAAAATAATTATTTAGAAGATAAATCAGGTTCTAAATAATAAATATTGAGAAGAAATGATCAAAGTCTAGTTAATGTAAGATTTTGACAAATAATTATGTATGACCTAATATAATTGTTTTAGAGTTGTAATTGAACCCAATGCGGGAAGTGGGATGATTTTCAGACATTGGCCGTCACAAGAAGCAACCAACTAGTTCTAATACCAACGGCAATGAAAAATGAGTATACTTTTGTCTCGTTAAAGCTTTACGTTTTCAGAAGACTTATTTACGATAACAAGTATTTATAATCGACAACAACATATAACCTTTACGTTTTTTTTTAATCATAACAAGTGTTTATGTACGTTTCCATGTTTACGTTTTCGCACTTTTTTTTTTTTCCCTCTAGTTACTAAGATGTTTGACGAATACGAAAATTTGACAAGTGTTTCACATTTAATATTTGTCCTATTAATATATAAATATGTTTCTATATACATTTTCTATTTTATCGATTTTAACCCTGATATATTTTTCTACTTTAAATAAACCATGTTTCTCCTGCACAATCAAACAAAGCAAAATAAAAAATGTTAAAAACAAGTAGCAATTTTTCTCACTTGGCACCTACAAACACCATAAAAGCGAATAACGAACACGTCTACGACTCTCTCAAACTTCTTAACATGTTTAATCTACGTATCTTTCCATATTTGATATGTTTTCACACTACTCATATGCCGTTTTTAGAAATATTAATCGAGCTATCATTAACCTCCACTCACATTCAAAAAATTGAACCGTAATACTGCCAATATACCAATCACTTAAATCATTTATTACTTTCACCACCACCTTCGTTCATTCGTTAACCATAACTGTGATGATGCTTCGAAGATTAAACGGAAGAATCGACATCCAAAAAAAACGTCATGATGAATTTGAAGAACATACAACCAAGTCAACTGAAAAAGATCTACATGATGTTACTATACTAAGAAATATAATAATCGTAATATAACTTTATATAATATAATATTACAAGACACACTGAATTACCTTAACAAAATAATGTGATATGTATACTATCAAATTCTTGAATCATGAAGGAGGGTTCGTACCGAGTCTGGATAAGACAGATATTTTATAAACTACAAAGACAAAAAAAAGAAGTAAAAAATAAAAAAGAATGATTTGGGTTCCATAATGAAGATTGGGAATATTGCATTTGATGATTGCACAGAAAAGAATTTTGTGTAGAATCTTGTGCGAAGGAGGGTCAGAGTGATCTCCAATGCGACCCATTCAAGATTCCCTAATCCAATTTTTGCGTTGTCAATTGGTACATATGTACATGCTTCTTCACAAATAACCATCAAACTCTACATAGGGTTTCATTTCTCTATCTGTGTCTCTCTCGCTGTCGCAACTTTGTGCTACAAATGGCAATGGAGGTGAAAGTGTATTGCAGAAGGAGAAAGAGGGAAAAAACCCAGCAAATTGATCACATACCCAAGTGTTTTCAGCTTCCTAGAAGCGTTTCTGCATCCAAACCTCGGACTGATTTCTCTCTTCCCATCTGCTCCTCCAAAGGTGTTGTTCAACTGTTGCTTTTTTTTTTCTCTCCAAAATTTGACCTTGTCTATAGGAATTTGTGACTTGTGATTTGATATATGGAGTATTTGTTTTGATTTATGTATGAATTGGCTTAATCGATCAGTGCAAACCTTGCAAAAGGTTTGTGGTATTTCTGCCTATTTGTTAGGATTAGGGTTTTTTGAATCTGTTTAGATATCTTTGTTAATGCTTATATGAAATTGAACCGGTTGCAATTTAAGTTTTGCTTATGAATTACTATCTCTTCACTAAAATTTGTGAACTTTAGGTAGTTTGCATGATTGTTAGTTTTTTAGGGCAAAATTGATGAAAAAAGCCACCTGAAGGTTCCTTCGGTTGATTGGTAGGGCCTTGGTACTCAACCTCCCCTCTTGCTCTATATAAAGAGGCTACTTCCGTGACTTGAACATGAAATTTTGGTCAAATAGGGCTATAGGAGTAACCTTACTAGTTTCCCCAATGGCCACCCATTAGAGCAGACTCGATGCTTGTGATAAACAATGTATGTTGATCTATATATGAATGTTGAATCAATTGGAGTTTCTAGTTTATGATTGATCTGATGATGATAAAGACATGAAAGAAGACTCTAAAAAAGGGCATGGGCATTTTATCTGCTTATATCAAGTATTATTGGATGAAAATGTAGATGATTTTGTTTCGTATCTGTTCATTACTCTTATTGGTACTTCATTTGAAATATATTATTTAGTTTTGTGAACTCTGCCGTTGTTGTTATCCCAAGAACTTGTCTTTTGAAAGGCAGAGATGGAGATAACCCTTGAAGGTTTGAGGTGTTGGTGTTATGAACTCCTTTTTTCTAATTATAGAGATCAAACAAAATTATTTGTGAGGATACCGCAAGAAAATTAGATGTGGACCCTAAGTTCAGAATCAAGTTCGCCACAAATTTCAAGGATAAACAATAGCAGTATGGGATTTGTGCTTAGCTTGGATGGTATCCGATAAGTTGGTAACCTCTAAGATGATAATACCTTGAATGTGTGGATTCTCCCTTCCTCTTTTGCCTTTTTCAAGAAACTAATACGCTGAAGAAAGTTAATTATATAGTGGAAGAAGAAGAAAATAAAAAAAAGCCAATAGAACACAGTAGTAGGGATAGGGCGGGAAGGAGATGTTGAATGACCAAATGAGAGGGGGAGATTGCTGAGAGAAAATCGAGGAGCCAAAGAATCTATTGGAGAAGGAAAAAAAAGATAGAGGTTGGAGGAACAACTAGAAGTAAGAAAAAGATCAAAAAAGGAAAAAAAATCGACGTCGAATAATTTAGAGAAGATGGGCTATTACAAGTGATGCTTCCCCAAGTAACAGTACCATTATTAATACCTACCACTGCAAAGGATCGAGTAATGAAGATCACTTTAGGGATTTCCCCCCCTTACATCAGGTAGTCTTGACCTACAAACATCTTAAATGTGTTATGAGGTATTTAATTGCTGTGAAAAAAAAGCCCCATACGATTGTCAAAGTTGAATGTCTTATGATCTTAATGAAAGGTGTAAGCTTTTTGGCCAACTACAAGATGCCATTATCACCCCTGAACTCGTGTTGGTCGCTTTGAATCTTTGAGCCACATCACATTTTGAAGTTTCTTATTGAGAAAGAAGGGTAGTGTTGGGAGGGCATGGAGACAAAATCTTGTGAGGATCTATATAAAAGTAAATAGTACCATATTGGTAAGTTCTAAGTTATTGATATTTGGGAAAGCATTTTCTATGCCTAGTTAAAATCTACTTTCGAAATCTAGAAGCTTATATATTACTCGCATCATCCTAGAAAAAGCAAAATTTTATAATTTTCTTCTTTCTTCCAAAAAGAGTCCTAGTTCAGAGTTTAAGATTGAGATAGATTTGATGTTGCAGGTTTAACCTTCTTTTTTCAGAGATTGGTAAATAGTTATTTTTTATTTTCTTTAATCATGCGAACTTGCCCAAAACTATCTTCGAGTTCCTTCCAGAATTTAAATTGATCTCTACTTGGATTTATGATTCCATATATGAATTAATTTGCGACATCTAATGCTTATGTAAACCGACAGTAAACAACCGTAACTTTGCTTCCATAACTTTGTTTCAGAATATGCTAAAAGTAATATTAAGAAGGTCAAAATCTGCAAAATGAATAAACAGATGATTTTTGTTTATTATAACAACATAAGTTACCAAAATTGTGCAAGCTTCGTGTTGTGCCATATCTTTCTTGCCAATTTTGAACCCTCTTGGAACTCAGTGATGCCGGTGCTTCTCTTTATTGTATTTCTTTCTTGATAAAGTTGCTTTTTCTTACCCAAGTAGTTATTGTACGTTATAGTCACGTCCCCGCAGGTATAAGGACCAATGGAAGAAAGTATGGGATCTTATCTAGCCATTTTGTGTATTTGGTTGCTTTTCATCTATTGGGGCTTTTCAGTTTTGGTGGGTGGGTGTTCATTTATTACTTTGGCAACTTGTGTTTCCACATCCGCTAAAGGAGGATGGTGGGTGTTAACCTAATTTGATTTTAATAAAGTGTTCTCTGTTGCTGTTAGTTATTCTTTGTATAAAATAGTCTAACTTACGAGAGATATGTTGGGATTAATATATATCAGAGTCATGTTTCCGTAATTTTACATTTAGTCATGTATTTTGTTTCTTGTTTTGGTTACAGTAGCTGTTCATTTAGAAAGCGATGTATTAGAAAGGATGTATAGCTGATGATTTTTTTTTATTTATGCTTGTGGTATGTATGCTGGCCATATTAGGGGGAGGTTGTATCTTGACAGAAGACTTTCTAAAACTCTTGTTTTATCTTCCATTTACTGTTCTCTTTATGCATCTTCTGCTCTTTTATGTAACAGACAGAGAACTGGAGCTGCGCATCAGCAAAGAGATCCAATCAAGTGTCATTGTGGAGAGTTCGGATATGTCAAATGACAAAATAAGGCATACTGATGACCTGTCTTCTACTAGATCCACTGAGCCTGAAAGTAGAAGGCAAGAAACGCTGACGAATGGCATGGAACTAACAGTCACAGATAAATCGTTCGGGAAAAATGCACAAATTCAACCTTGCAGTAACAGGTTTAGCGCATTCATGTTTGTATCATGCTGTTCTGTTTTTGCATATAGAACATAAGAACAGTTTTCTTATAGCAATCACCTTATTAGTGGACGTGGGTGGGACTGTCAATTCCATGCTCATGTCTATGTTGCTGTAAGCACAAATGTTGCTTTAGCCTCCTTCTCCGGTTGCATTTGATGCTATATTTTCTGTCTTTTGGGTGCTTTTGATGCTCGGGACAGGACAAAACAAAAACTTCTTGTCCTCCCATGTTTCGTGTGACAATAGACTGGGACAAGACAGGGATCTAGCGTGACAAAAATGTTCTTTTTTGTCCCACCAAAATAGGTAGAAGAAAAATAAGGGAGATGGAACAAGATGGGTAAATTACTAAACTGCCCATGTCAAATTAAAGCGCTGAAACCTTCCACAATTCTTTTACCCGCCTACTTCACTCTTGCCCTGTTGCCCATCCTGTCCCGTCCTGTCCTGCCTTTTATGTGGATGATTAACGCCATTCACCCATATCCATCTACTAATCTCAAGGATATTATGCTTTGCTTAAGTGTGCCAAAGAACTTGTTATGGAATTTTCTTATTCATATAGAGATGTATTTTTACTTCTCTCTGGTATTCTTGTATTTATGATTTCTCAACTACTGTTTTTGTTTTCTATTTTTTGTGTGAAAATAGAAATGGTGAAGATAGAGATGATACTGCTACGGTATTGGAGTTCACTCCTAATAGATCACTACTGACGGAAAACAGTGAAATATGTGCAACTCCTGGAAGTGTTGTCTGGGCTAAAACAGGACAATGTTGGTGGCCTGCAGAAGTAAGTAACGAGATATGCATAAATTTTCTTTCACTGTGTGGAACCTTGTACAGGCCAATTTTTTTCCCCATTGCAATATTTTGAAACACTCTACTTGAAATCACCTTTTTTTTTGTTAAGTTTTATACATGACATAAATGTATAGCATTTGGCATGGAAAATATTGCTATGCCATCTCTTAGGTTGGATTTATCTCAAATTCCGTTAAAAAATATGACCTATTTATCCCTCTTCCTCTCTAGGAAACTAGTGAAGGATGTATACTTCTTTTACAATATACTTAACTAGCATCATCTTCATCAAAAGAATGTGATTGTTGTGGACACAAAACATTCAGTTGAAAATATCAACCAAATTTGCCTGATGTAGAAGGAATGAAGAAAGCTGCATGAGTAGATATAGAACCTATAGATAGGTCGGGAAATCCAACCAATCTTGCTTCAGTGCTTGTACATCTGAAGTCGGAACCTTTGGAACATCCTGCCACCCCAGGTTGCAAAAAGCCGACTTTGAGGTTTCAAAACTTATCCTCAATATGAGCTCTTAGGATGTATAAGTTTACCCCTTGAGGAGTAGATTGGTGCATGTCGTTTGTTTCAAGTGGTGTTGGTTTGTGTCAATCTGCCGGTTGGCAATCACAATCTTATTCAGAGTTGGAATTAAGGAAATTCTTTTGCAGGGCCTTCCTCTTTTTGTACTTGCAAAGCGCAAACATTAATAACCTATTTCTCAATTTACGTTCCATGCAAAAGGGGTGTATCACAATGATTGCTTCATATTTTAACGTATTTTGCAATCTACAATGATTGCTTATACTTTCTGTCTATCCCTGAGGCAATGTGGAAAATCATCGACATGTTTTCTCAGAGCATCCCGCTGAGATGTGATACCTGCGGCCAGTAGCTTGGAAGATCTTCCTTGCAAGCAAATTTTTATCATGGGTTATAAGAATTCAAGCTTTTGCAGGAAAGAAACTGTTGTTTACCTGATAGAAAGGAATCAATTATTAGCAGCTATGTGAGTTACAATCATTTCATTTCATGATACTCTGAGTTTGACGGATAACTTGCCTAATCAGGCCAAGTAAATGGAGTTTGCATTATCTAGGGTTGTGTGTGCATGAATCTGACTATATGTGAAGTGTTATTTCTCTATGGACATCCTTGGTTTTCCGATAATTTTTTAATAATCCCACCCTCACTTATGATATTTACATATACATATCAAAGCATGAATAATAAACATGCATAAGCTCATAAATATAATAACACAGATACACACAAACATACATATACATGCACACAGCTTGTGTGCATGGAGAACAACTTTAGGAAGTGTCTTCAATGATCTCTTTTTTGCATCTTGTTTCCAGATTTTGGGAGAGAGATCAAGTAAATCTCAATCTAGCACTGTTGGCTTTAAAAGGCATCTTTTAGTGCAGTACTTTGGTAAGAATGGCAGGTAATGGATACTCAATATATATATTCTTTTACTTTTTTGTGTATGTAAAGATTCTTTAAGATCTGTTCCTGTTTAATTATATAATCTAAAGTATCTTTGTCTCATTTTTCAGTGCTTGGGTTGATCCAGCTACAGATCTTTCGCCATTTGAGGAAGTGAGTATAAATTCTCTACTCTAGAGGCCTGCGTTAGCCCTGCTACATAAGTATTGCCATCTTCAGTCTTCTTTGTATTCATGCTTCAGCAAAGTCAGCCAGTTTGGCTTCTTGGATCATAATGGGATAGGGCCTATGCTATTGCATATATATTTAATTTATAAGCAATTTTGCCTCTTTTGCGACCTCGAAGGTCATAATTCATATTACACCTACAGTCTCTTTGCAAAATGTTGGTCTACCCTATGGGGGTAGAGGTCAGGTCTGTGTACATCTCACCCCTCCCAGACCCTGCTTTCAAGCGGGGTGTACCGGGTTTTCTCGGTTTGGTCTCTTTGCAAAATGAATTTTCTCCCCAACCAAGGCCATGGTGCACCCTGATCGCCCAAATCTTGCCCAGTTTATATGTCATCCAATGGTAGAAATGAAGCACTCTGATTCCAATCACTCGTTACCTTATTGTTTAGAAGGGGTGGTAGGTGCCCAAAGTCTTTGCAATTGTCCACATCAATTATGTTTAACTACTTCATTCCCCACAAATATGCAATCATTTTCATTTACTCATTGAGCACATATAAGTTTGTTGCTCCAATTGTGAACTCCTAAGATTCGTTATGAAGATTCTCTTATTGTATGTGTAGTGTTTCGAAGAAAGGAGTTGTAACCAGGCCAAAGAGTTTCAAATTGCTTTGAAACAAGTAATGAGAACCTTGCCTGATACTTTAATTTGGTTTTATCCTTTTCACGATTATTTAATTCCTGGAAACTTAAAGTTGCCATATCCTTTTCAATTTTGTTGTGATTGCAGGCATTGCACTATAAGGAGCATCCTAGATCATGTAAGGAGTCATCTGGTTCTCTTGATGGACATGATCATTTAAATCACCATGACCAGTTACCTGGTATGTACTAGTGAATTATAGAGATCGTTGTAGGATATTATCGAAAATGACTTGTGATATATCTATGGCATGCTTGCATATATCTCATCAAAGCCATTTTATGATAGAATCTAATTGTGTGTAGTAAACCACAAGGGTGGTGCCTGATTGGTTTGAACTTGGGCTCCAAAGGTCAAAACTGCCTGGAGGTCCCAGGTTAAAATCCAAGGAGGAATAAAAATCCCCTTGTAGCTACGGAGGTTCAAATGCGGTGACTCCGGGCTACCCACAAAGCAGGTGGTCGCCCTGGGATTAGTCGACTCGTATAGCGGGTTGGATATCTAGGTTAATAAAAAAAATTGTGTGTAGTAAACATTGCCTTCCCAGTTATTCTGGTCTAACTATCAAGTCCTGATTTACGATGTCATCATAAAGAGAAGTAAAAACAAAGCATGACATGGCTCATATGATTCTCATAAGAATTCTACTTTTCAAGAACTCTTGACGTTCTATCCAAGATGAGATTTAAGGAACCCATGAGCCATTTTTCAAATGCTAGGTTAGTGAACCAATGACAAAGTATTAGGCATGCATAAAAAACTGAATTTAAAGCAATGTTTGTTAGATATGGAGCCTTGGCAAAGCCATCTTGAGTGAATTTGAAGCAACTTCTATTATTGATTTATTTCTAGTAGGCATAGAGCCTGAATTAGGCTGTAAACAGGTCTGCTATAGTTAACATGACAATTTTTGTTATCTTATCCGTTTATTTTCTGATTTTCTTCTTGTAATAGGGGGAGTCTTCCTTGTGTGAATGTACTACAAAAAAACCAAACCAAAAGAGGTGAGATGTATGTAGACCTTTACTCTCAAAGAGTAGTGTGGTTGTTTCCGTGAAGACCTTTGGCTTGTGAGAAATATGCGAAATAGGTAAGAGTGTTTCCCCAAAGAAATAAAGCAAAAAGTGAGGGGAAAAAGAACCTGAAACAAGAAATAATATAACACGAAAATCGAGTTAGAAATAAACAACATATAAGCAAAAGTGGGTACAAGCATTGTTCTAAAAATCGTTTAAGGACTGAACCTTGAGGCGAGGCGGCACAAAAACGTTCTTGAGGGGGCACCTCTTACTGCGTTGATGAGTCATACGCCTTGTATACCTGAGGCGGTGAGGCAGCATAGAGGCATATGCCTCCAGTTTTGCTAACTGTATCTTTGTTTATCTTTTTTAAACATTCACATATTTATTCAATAGAAGACCAAAGTCAAATCGTAAAGTAGCTTATAACAAAACAATGGCTTCGTCTTCTCTCTCTCAATAGTGAATCACGAATCACGTTCTCCTCACATGATTGACCTTGTTTCTCTCTCCCTACTCATGCTTCTCAAAGCCCATCTTCTATACTTGTTGGCTGCATTCCGAAGCTTGTGGTTGTTGCGTAAAAAGCTGTAATTGCTGCATTCCAACTGTTATGTATAGATATTAGTTTTCTTTTTTTTTCTTTAAACTTGCTTGTAGTATATATATATATGTATATATATATATATAATTAACTGTCTAGTATGTATTTTTTGTGTATATATAAGTATATTTTGTTATTACAGTCCAACTTAATACATTAATGGGTATATTCTTTATTTTTTGTGCATGTATATAAGTATATTCTGTGAGTAGTAGTTGTGTACGTATACAAGTATATTCTGTAATTTTTATATATATTTGACTCTAAATAATTTTTTGGATGTATATAAGTATATTCTGTAACTTTTATATATATAGTAGTGGTATGTATATTTTTGTGTACGTATATTTTTGTATAACAGTAAGTATATTCTTAGGATATATTATTGTATATTTATTGGTTAGTATATCTCTAAGTTGCTTTATTTTTTCTTGTGTTTGCCTTTTTAAGCCGAAACGATGAATAGCACCGGACCAAAAATGGGATCACGAAAGGATCCTTCGTGGAAGTATGGTGTAGAAATTGAAGTGTCAGGAGAAGGTGGGAAAAAAGGTTACAAGTATATTCGATGCAACTTTTGTAGCAAGGTCATTAAAGGGGGAGTGAAGAGAATGAAAGAGCATCTTGCATGCACACATAAGGATGTTGCGCCATGTCCAAACGTACCCTCAGAAGTAAAAAATGAGATTAACCAATACTTGAAGAACTTCCAAAATACAAAATTTGCTTATCAACGTAATTTTGAGGAGACGATAGAGAGTGGAGCCTACTTTGTCGGTGGTCGTGGCGATAGTGTAAGTGGAATTTTGTTGGAGGACATTAATTCTTGTCCTAGTGGTAGTGATAGAGGAGTTAAAGGACCGATAGATAGGTCTGTGGAGAACAAGGGAGACGATACTAATGCTAAAGAGATGCCAACAAGTGCCAAGGAGCATCGTAATCAAGTTTGTTCGGATATTGGGCGATTCTTCTTTGAGAATGGGATTCCAATCAATTGTGCAACAAGCCCATCATATTTCAACATGTTGCGTTCGGTTGGAAATTATGGACGAGGATTGAAAGCACCGACGATGCATGAGATGAGTAATTGGATCTTAAAGAAAGAGGTAAAGACAACATCCGAGATTGTTGATGAAATAAAAGCAACATGGAACAAGACTGGGGTTTCTTTGTTATTGGATGGTTGGTCAGGCATGAGAAATAGAAGCCTAATCAATTGTTTAGTCAACAATCAATATGGAACTGTCTTCTTGAGAACCATTGATGCATCTGATTATGTGAAAGATGCACAAAAGTTATTCGAATTGATTGATGGTGTTATAGAAGAGATTGGAGAAAATATTGTGATCCAAGTTGTTACTGATAATACAAGTGTGTATAAAGCGGCTGGAAATTTGTTGATGGAGAAGAGGAAGAGTTTGTATTGGACTCCTTGTGCGGCTCGTTCTATAGATTTGATGCTTGAGAAAATCGGAGAATTGCCACAACAGAAGAATGCTTTGCTTAAAGCGAAAAAAGTAAGCAATCTCATCCATAATCATCGATGGCTATTGAGTTTAACAAAAAAGTTTACAAAGAAAGATCTTCTCCGACCAACTGCTAGAAAATTCACTACATCTTTTTTGACTCTTGAAAACATGTATAAGTTGAAACAACCATTACAAATGATGTTTGCTTCAAATGAATGGGATAGTTGTGCATGGGCAAAGAAACCTGAAGGGAAGGCGGTGAAGAAGATTGTAATGGATGAACGCACGTTTTGGCCTAGTGTGGTCTATTCCATTAAAACCACAAATCCCCTTGTGCATGTTTTGAGGCTAGTTGATGGTGAGACTCCTGCAATGGGGTTTATTTACGGGGCTATGGATGAGGCAAAAGAGAAGATAGCCAAGAACTTGGATGGAGATGTGTCTTCTTACAAGGAGATTTGGGATATAATTGATACAAAGTGGGAGTGTCAGTTGCATCACGACTTGCATGCAACTGCATATTACTTGAATCCACGATTTAGATGGAGTCCCAATGTTTCAGAGCATGTAGAGATTAAATATGGATTGTACCGTTGCATGGAGAGACTCATCAATGATGACACGATGTTTACAAAGATTGATAACCAACTTAATGTATACACACGCAAACAAGGATTGTTTGGATTCCGAAATGCTTTGTCAAGTTACCAATCACGTCCACCTGGTAAATACTCGAACTTTCATCTCTTTTTTCATTATATAATATAAGTAAAATAAAGTATTCACTAGTTTATTTTCTTTTGCCATTAATATATATATAGTTATATGGTGGGATAACTTTGGAGATGAGACGCCGGAGCTAAAAGCATTTGCAATAAGGATTCTTGGTCTTACTTGTTCGATAGCAGTGTGTGAACGTAATTGGAATAAGTTCAATCAAATGCACACAAAAAGAAGAAATTGCCTAAGCATGGACAAGATGAATAGCTTGTTGTACATTATGTACAACAAAAAGTTGAAGCATAGATTTTTGAAGAAACAGTCATTAAAAGAGGAAGATGATCCTTTGATTATTGATGAGGTGTCTTCAGATGATGAGTGGATTGCAAACCCAAATGATGAAGAAGATGTCAATAGCGAAGTTGTATCAATTGAAGCTGGAAATGGAGTTGAGGATGCATGCCCAAGTTCATCATCAAGAAAGAGGAAAGGTAATCAAATGAATTTGGAAGACGAAGATGATAGCGATTACATGATGGTGGAGCTATGAAATTTGATCATATTTTTTGAACTTAAGACTTGTGGAATCAATGAATTTACATGTTTATGACTTATAGTAATTTTATAACTTTAATAGTTTGATATTGGATTATGTTTTGCATGTAATGAATTATAATGTTATTCATTTTCTGCCTTGGGCGTATGCCTCGTCTCGTGTTTCCATACTTTAAAACCTTGCTTACAAGAAAACCTAGCCAACTTAAGAAACTGCACCCCTACCCTAACATAGGACCTACCTCAATCTAACTCTCCGACTCCCATCTATGCTAGCTACAAAACCCCACCCCTAGTCTGATACCCTAATCTTGCTTCTCCAAAAGATGCCTATCAGAGGTCAATCTCCTTGGAATTGCCTAAGGTTGTCATGTCTAACCTCAACTGCTCATCCCATGTCCTCCTCGACCTACCCCTTCTCCTTGCCACCTCAACCGTCACAAGTTCTACCATCTCATCAGGGATGTCAACTGTTTCCTATGAACATTTCCAAACCACCATAATCTTCCCTCTCTCAACTTATCAGTGATGTGTGCAACTCCCAACGCGGCTCAAAAAACCTTGTTTGGTATCCTGTCAGACTAAGTCCGGCAATAGGTCCATTTACATCTGCAAGTTCCAGCTTCCTCTCATGGGTCGTCTTGGTTTCCCAACATTCCGACCCATGAAACATAGCTGGTATACCCTGTGAATGTGCTACCAATCTTCGAATTAGGCAGGTTGTTGACCCATAACACTACTGGTTATACATATCTTGTTTTCTGCAATTATTATCATGTGTAAATACTGATCGTACCAATTTCCTTTTAACCTGCCTGGTACATGTTTTGTTCAATCTGATAGTTTGGTTTTCCTTAAAGATGTACTTTTTGTATGTATTGTGTTATATTACATATACTTTTCTAGTTAAACATATGTTATTTACTTCTTGTTTGCTATATATTATAACTAAAACCAAACCAAACCACACCAAACCGACCCAATATATTTCATGTTCTATTTCCTTCCATTTTACGATGTTGATGTCATTAAGTGATCATATTGTTTCCAAACATCATATATTAACTATTCCATTTTGTGCACATTCAGAAAGGGAAAACTCGTCAAGTTCAAGCCGAGCAGGAACTGACTGCACAGGAAGAGTGAGGAGCAAGCGTGAAAGAAAACGGAAAGTCCATTTTGATGTAAGTTAATGGGCTGCTCCATATATTGTTTTTCTTCTAGATCTCTCAGTTTAAGGTTTGCATATGTCCTACCCCTAGAGCCTACCTCTGTCAGGGACTTACTGGGCTAGTTTGGTTCTATTTGGTTTTCTAGATCTTTCGGTATAAATCCAGTTGGCCATTTTTTATGGTTATGCAGGAGGTGAGCTGTCCATTATATACATCGAGGAAAGTTCGTCGATTCAAAATCATGCGGTCTCTTGGACTTGCTGCGCCAGTCGGATCTCCCTTCAACACCCCATGAGTTCCAAGATCCGACCGCCAACAATTACGACCGATCCTTTCCAAACTCAAGCGTTTAGTTCCTTAAGTCGAGAATAGGAATAAGCTTCTTATCTGAGTTATGATGAAAACAAGTATAGAAAACGTGGAGTATGTATAGTTCTGCATTTCTACTCCACCAATTTGAGTGAAAGAACCCATATTGAAGATGAGATGATGAATTCATATAGGAAATTAGGCTGAAACTGTTTATAATCTATATATATGAGGAATCAGAATTTGGTGCTTCCCCAATGTGTTCAAAGGAACATAATGACATTGATTGAAGCATGGTTATATGCCAATATGTAGTTTTATAGTTTGTATTGAGTATTGACTCGGAGTGTTGTTTACTTGTGGTTTAATGGTATGAAAAGCTTATTTTTCTGGCATGAATCCACGTGATCGGTCTCAACGGTCCTGTCAAATTTTGTCAGCTTTTGTATTTTTGATGGACCCTTTTGCATAAAAAATGTTTCATAGGTTAGATATGTAAAGAACCTCTCAACTCTCCCCCTCTTAATGATTAAGCTAGTTTATTCCTAAAATATCCTTTGCCCCATTCATTATATAAAAAAAAAAGCAATCCATATGGGTGGTTTAATCTATATAGGTCTTAATTAGAAGAAAAGAAGTGAACAACCCACGTTTTGTTAGCAATGTTTCAAAATCCCGGTGGTTTACGGATATGTAAAGTTAGCTAACAAACGGGTTATATGGTCGAATGTAGTTGGACTACTATTAAACAGTCGTGTTTAAAAATGGATCTGATTTTTTTTTTCAAGTGGTGGCATTGTAGCACATAGTGAAACAAAATGGCGGTAGGATCATAAGTTTTTTTTTCCTACCAAGATAAAACGATTTAAGATTGGATCTTTTCTGGAACAAATATTCTCCGAGGCTTGAACTTTTTTCGGTTTGATCGAGTTTTAAGGTTTGAGCCCAAACTTCTTGTGACGAGGCTTTAGATTTAGACTTTTTTATATATCTTTAAGGGTCAATATTATATGACATTGTCTTGGTTCATGGTTTTAGATCGGTTTTTAATCAAAGAAAAAATTAAAGGACTTTTTTCCTTTATAAACAATTTATGATAATAATAAAGAATAATTTCTAATAAAAAATAGTCAAGTTTAGTTAATTATATAGAAGTATTAGAACAAATAAATTAGTTTTCAATATTGATTAAGAAAAACAAATAAATAATCTAAAACTCAAATGTAAATCTTAATTGGATAAGTTCTTGAAGAAGTAGGGTTTAAATCAAACTAGCACAATAAGTTATAAATTCGTAAGAATCTGTTAAAATTTGTATGATTTTTTCTTCATTAAATGCCATAATTTTAAGATATATATATATATATATATATACATATATTTGTTTCATAATGTAATAGTTTTACATTGTAAAGCTTATCCCGTGTATTTTTCGTTTCACCCAAAAAAAAGTTTCACATTAATTTTTTTTTCAGTATATGTACACAGACCTATATGAAATAATAGCTAAAATCTTGACCTTTCGATATGTCTAATCATATATGATTATAAACATTTTGTTAGAAGGTGAGGAGTTTCAATATCATATATTATTACACTCCTTTTGACGTGTTTAATCATATATGATTAAGTGTCTATATGTTGTCAATGCAAGATGTTTTTAATCATATATGATTAGGCTTGTGTATCATGTGCGTAGTCATATATGATATTGAAACTTCTCGCATTCTTGCAAAATGATTAGCTTCTCGTTTGAACTTGTCCCATTTAAGTTATATTGTAAGTAATGATACGAAATGCTAATTAACAATTAATGTTGTGGGTATTCATTATTGAATTAACATCAAGAATTTAAGAAAACTTAAATCTAACATCAGATAAGGTTCAACTAAAAAGTCTAACTTAAACTTAACCTCATTTACTGTTAACTTCTTTAATCTTTATGGATAATCTCAAATTACTATTAACCTTTGATTCAGTTAATAATCAATCCATTTACGTAAAACAAAATACTTTACATCTATATTAATTTCATCAATTATTAATTTCCACCCATCCAAAACTATTCAGTAATTTAATATGTTTTATGTTTTTTATGCATGTCTATGCATATGTGTATCATACAAATAATTTGTATGCATATACACATATCGTATAGTGAATAATTATTAGAATGTTTCTCAATTTCTATTTTTTATGGTATTCTTTTAAACCCAACTGGGTCGTTTGGTTAAGAAATTTGATAAAATTGGAATGACAAATTCTCTTGACCAAATTCGAGTTCATTTGTTTGGTTCATTTTTAGAAATGAATGGAATCCTTCAAATTCCATTGAATTCCACAAATTAATGAATTCATCATTCTTTGGTCTAATGAAAGAAATTGAATTTCATCACCACCCACCACGACCATGCTACCATTGTTCGTCATGCACCACCCCTAACCCTTGGACTCCCCCCCCCCCCCCCCCCCCCCCCCGAGGTCACTCCTACGCATCCCTACTACGGCCATGCTACTACGTTATTTTCACATCCCTAACCTAACCCCCATCACACCATTATTGTTGCTGTTACAAATGCCACTCAACCCAACCATACCTTAACCCACTAGGCCACCACTAACCACCAGGCCACTACTATCGCTGTCATACCCCACCCTCCATCCCACCACTGTCGTCATCGCAACTACCACCCCGCCACCAATCC